AAGGCAAAAATTTCGCAAATAGTAAAAATTATGTGTAGGCATGCGCAGTGACTGCGCAATGTCAACTTTCTTATTTATGGAGATATTTCTTTGAAATTTTAACCACAGATGCTTCTAGTAAAAGCCAACATGTCGCAGATCGTAAACATCAAATGTGCATATGCGCGCAGACTGCATAATGCCAACTTTCTTATTCTAATATTTAAATATAATAGTAAATACACTACCTATGGGGTTTACATAATCACCACATTTAACACATTCTTATAAGCGCACAATTGACAGATTCACTAGCGTTACTCATCATTTACAGTTGTGTTACGCGGCAATACCCACGAGTGGGTTTTGAAACATTTTTTTCAATATTTTTAATCGCATTTCCTCAAAGGGGGATTATGCTCACTGTGTATTTTTAGCGTAACCCACAAAAAATGTGGGAACGCATATGTGCTCGTGTTTCCGTCTGTCGTTCCCTCAAGATCTTTGCTTCTAGACCAGCTAGAGACTTCGGATTTCCGCTAAATGATTCGTCCTATACCCTAGTTTTGCCCAAATGCTATAAAAGAGGTAGACGATCCCCGTACTTAAAATTCAACAATTCTCCTGCATAACTCGCAAATTTTTAGCGTCACCAACCAATTTTTCTGACAATGTGGGTTACACTTAAATACCCACATGGGGTTTTTTATTTCTGTATATCCCGTTTTCGAATCAGATTGCAGAAGAGTTTTATTTCGGGAAAATGCTTGCTTTAAGGTTTACGCGCGTAGGTAGGCCTTTCATATTGAGATTTTCGTAATTAGTATACGCATAAATTTAACGAAAGGCTATAGTAGAATGCTACAAAAATTCAAATCGTGGCGAAGATATCTTTTTTGTGCCAAACTTTGTTAATAACTCATTATTAAAGGTGTCCAACATTCTAAGTACGAATGATAGGTATGTGAAACGAAAAAGATAATGCAAGTTATCAATATCACTATTCAAAGCGAAGATCGTTTTTTTAATGATTATACTTTCACAAAATGTTGAAAATTGACACCTGTTGTAGTTGATGCGTTTATTCATTTATTGTATTTATTGTTATAACAGTCGTACGTATACAAATATAAAATACAGTATATAGGAATATGCGAGTTATTACATCTTTACATTATTTTGAACTTTTTACTAGTAGGTAAATACATATTATTAAGTTCGTCTTACACTATCTCATCTCCGGACTCGCAATCTATCTTGCGCTTTTCACCAGTGCCATTTAATAGCTCCTGTAGTTCCCTGCTGTTTTCCAGATCGGAATCCTCTTCAAGCAGCGTAGATTGTGACGCCATCTTTTTCGGATCCTTTCCTTCCGAAGTGGCAGGAGTACTTTTTTTCCTCATTGTTGCGACCTTTTGACGCAATTTGTCAGCTGCCTTTTCGAGAAAATTCGCAGTGCCTTCTATTGAATCTGAAATCGGTAGGTATCGGTTTCAGTGTTTCAACTACACGCACTTATACGCATATTACTAAACCTTAAAATACCGAAATGTAATTTTATTATTTTTTGTATTTTTCGTACTCAATATCTATATGAGTGTTATAACGGAAATTAAGGTTAGTGATGCGGGTTGTGATCTGCTTGTCTAATAAAATGATGAAAATTACCTTTAAATTCCTCCGAACTGATCCATTTGTCCAGCATTTTGATGATTTGAACTCTTAATTGCATTTTTGCAATTTCATTTTCTTCCCCGTATATATTGATGATGCAGTTAAATTTATTTAATATAACTTTTTGAAACGCCAACTGTTCCATGGCTAAATTTTTCAAATTAATTTTATCCAAATTTCACAATTAACAAGCGTATTAAAATTGAAATCGGGATGTTTATTGCAATCGTGCACTAATGTTCACAACAGAATGAAGAATGAAAATGAAACTAAGGGTTGAACCCCCAGTATTTAAATGTGTAGTCTTGTCATTGTAATAACGGAAATTTATGATATTTTACCTAAATCCCACAAACGCAACTCCTCGGCGGCCGCCCGCTAATAGCCCCGTTTTTACACTTTACTATACACTTTGATTGTAGCCATAGGCGAAGATTTTACCGCTTTACGATGCCGGCTTTACTGTTTTCGGCAAAATACAATTTAAATAACACATCATTCTATACTATTTCGGTTTGTGTTAATCCCGTACGTCTAAGAAGGATCACGGTCACGAATGTTCAGGTACGTTCTTAATATTCCCAGAAGCTAATATAAGTTCTAAACTTGAGATGCTTTGCCCTATCAATCAGGGGGTGTTTGATAAACATTACTATACCGATACACCATTCGTGATTTTTTGTTCAGAAATCGCATTAGAAATGATAGGTAATTATTTGACTATGCGCGGGGCCCTATCAAACTGTGAATTAATTACGGTTCAATCGCCACCTCGGTCACTTCTGAACACGTCAGTTTGATTTTGTCGACAAGATACAAAATGTTTTCCGTTTTAGTACATCTATTTGAAGCAATAAATACTGGCCCCTAGTATGATATGCTCAAGTACTTTAAGGGAACGGTAGGAGAAACGGCAATTATTATTTATTGCCAGTTATTTACTTTACGACAGATGACTCTTTTGTGTAGATATCTATGCTTATTACGTTTATTAAAACCACACAAGTTAGAATAGTAGGTATAGGTACATTCCTTCCATCATCGTCGCGCTTAGTATATCATTGGTACTTTAAGTACCTACCTTATACCTACATATTTGTAACGTGTAATGTGAATAAAAACTTCAAAATGTGTAGTGGGAATGCAAAAATATAAACATCGATTAGAAGATTCCGATTCTTACGCACAGGTAAGCAAGTTATCGTATTTTTAGAAGTTTTGCCACGCCACCCCATTAACTGGTCGGCGTTTTTAATACTGCCTAGTGCCGAGTCTGGTGTTATAGACGCCTTAATATTTGGGAATTGGCGATTTGGCGACTGCATTCTTATTTAGTGTTAAACGAGGTGTTAAAGAGGAAAGTGCATTGTGACAAGTGCCTCATCTATTGGGTATTTATTACTGAGGTGAGTGATTGGCTGACATCATATCTTTGGCATGTGATACATGATTTTTACCCGAAAATTTAATTGACTGAATAATCAAAAGTATATTCGATCTTTTGTTTGAATTTTCTGCTTCTTATACAAAAAAAATGTGGGTCCCGGTTAACGAGGAAACGGGACATGCCATTGACACTGGATTTTTAGCGCATTTTCCAAAATTGGAAAAGTAGCTATTGTGGACACTATGTCCGTCCGTCCGTTCCTCGAACTACTTTTTATTACTGGAAAGTGCTATCGAGCTGAAATTTTGGTAATAGGGACCTTATAGTGATGGCACCTGTACGACAAAATCTCCTGCCCTTATCTCACCAAGTCAAAAAGTTACAGCCCAAAAACCAGTCAAACAGTACAAATATTTTACATTTTCTTCTATAACTACTGTTAGAAAAGACATAGCGCCTTCTGGTTTTCTGTGTTAGACTTTGTTAGTATATAGGAATCTAGCCTATATTAATAATGTTTTATGACCCGTGTATTTTGTGCAAAAAGGATCAAAATCGTTATTCTTCTACCAATCTCAGCGAGAAAAAGTCCAAACGCGTTATATCGATGCCCAAGAGATGAATTAGGCGCACTTTTAATGACCACATGCATTTTGAGCAAAATGGGTCAAAATCGTTATTCTTCTACCAATTTCAGTGGGGAAAGGTCTAAACGCGTTATATCGATGCCCAAGAGATGAATTATGTACATTTTTAATGACCACGGATATTTTGATCAAAATGGGCCAATATCGTTATTTTTGTACCAATTTCAGCGATAAAAAGTCCAAACGCGTTATATCGATGCCCAAGATATGAATTAGGGGCATTTTTAATGACCACATGTATTTGGATCAAAAAGGGTCAAAATCGTTATTCTTGTACCAATTTCAACGAGAAAAAGTCCAAACGCGTTACATCGATGCCCAAGAGATGAATTAGGTGCATTTTTAATGACCACATGTATTTTGAGCAACATGGGTCAAAATCGTTATTCTTCTACCAATTTCAGTGGGGAAAGGTCCAAACGTGTTATATCGATGCCCAAGAGGTTAATTATGTACATTTTTAACGACCACGTGTATTTTGATCAAAATGGGTCAAAATCGTTATTCTTGTACCAATTTCAGCGAGAAAAAGTCCAAACGCGTTATATCGATGCACAAGAGATGAATTAGGTGCATTTTTAATGACCACGTGTATTTTGAGCAAAATGGATCAAAATCGTTATTCGTCTACGAATTTCAGTGGGGAAAAGTCCATACGCGTTATATCGATGGCCAAGAGATAAATTATGTCCATTTTTGTTGACCATGTGTATTTTGATCAAAAGGCGCCAAAATCGTTATTCTTGTACCAATTTTAGACGGAAAAGTCCAAACTCGTTCTATCAATGAGGGCCAATATTAAAAATCTGTTGCGAAAATATTTTTCACATACGAAAGTAAATTTTATTTACAAAGAGGAACGCGAGGCATATCTATGCCCAAATAATGCAGATCTTTTGCAGAAAAACATTTTGTATGACATCGCCGAATACTTTCCTCACAGATTAAATGGATAAACAAATAAATACTCATTGTTAAAAATTCTACCACGTTACCTCGAAGTCAGCTTTCCCTAGTCCTTCTTTAGGAGTGATTGTGTTTTTCGATACATTTTCTATATATACATTCATTTTTTTTCTTAATATGTAGCAGAACACATGGGAAATAAACTTTCTTTCTTTCTTTCTATATAAGTACTATTCGCCAACTATATACATATTGCGTTAGATTTAGACACAATTCTACAAAAACTACAACAAATAGGAGAAGCTGAAAATCCAGATGTTTGGGCTGATGCAACTGATCTGAAAAAGGCAAGCACGAGTTTAAATGTTCACAAAAGCAATAATTTTATAGTTAAATGTATTTTGCAGATGCCGAAACGAAAGTCGAAGCCATTGACATTGAAGGTAGATCAGAGAAAGCGAAAACAACAGAAAATTGAAAATGCAGAGAAGGAACAGGCACAATTGGTTCGCGATAAAGCAGCTAAACAGGCACGGCGTTCTGATTCGGAATATCGACAAGCCGAGTCTGTTAGAGATAAAAAAAGTCGTCAAAAACGTCGATCGGATCCAGAATATCGACAAGCTGAATCTGATAGAGCTACAGTAACTCGCCAAGAACGTCGATCAGATCCGGAATATCGAAAAGTCGAGTCTGTTAGAGATACAAAAAGTCGACAAGAACGTCGATCAGATCCAGAATATCGACAAGCTGAATCTGATAGAGCTACAGTAACTCGCCAAGAACGTCGATCAGATCCGGAATATCGAAAAGTCGAGTCTGTTAGAGATACAAAAAGTCGACAAGAACGTCGATCAGATCCAGAATATCGACAAGCTGAATCTGATAGAGCTACAGTAACTCGCCAAGAACGTCGATCAGATCCGGAATATCGAAAAGTCGAGTCTGTTAGAGATACAAAAAGTCGACAAGAACGTCGATCAGATCCAGAATATCGACAAGCTGAATCTGATAGAGCTACAGTAACTCGCCAAGAACGTCGATCAGATCCGGAATATCGAAAAGTCGAGTCTGTTAGAGATACAAAAAGTCGACAAGAACGTCGATCAGATCCAGAATATCGATAAGCTGAATCTGATAAAGCTACAGTAACTCGCCAAGAACGTCGATCGGATCCGGAATATCGAAAAGCCGAGTCTGTTAGAGATAAAAAAAAGTCGTCAAGAACGTCGATCGGATCCAGAATTTGGAAAAGTGGAGTCTGTTAGAGACAGAGTAAATCGACAAGGAAGGCGATCGGATCCAAAACTTTGGCAAGTCGAATTGACAAGAGATTTGTTAAGCTTAAAACGACGTCGAGCTAAACCGATTTCGTGGGCAAGTGCATCCGCTACATTCAATGCGAACATCAAAGACGGACCTTTCCACCGATGTTTTTCATGCGATCGGCTATTCTTCAAGACACAAGTGACGAAAACTACTCGCGAAAATCTACAACAGAAGCGAACAAAGTGCACGGATGAATATTTGAAGTCTCTAATTCTTCCGGAACTAATTACCGATACCGAATACTTCTTTTGTTCCACGTGCATGTTCCATGTTCGGAAGCAAACAATTCCAAAGCTCAACGTAAATGGATCAAACCTGCGCTTTCCCGACATTCCCGATTGCTTAAAGAAGCTTACGGCTCTAGGAGAACGGTTTGTTGCACCTCGGATTCCATTTATGTACAGGCGAATTACGCCGGTCAACTCAAAATTAAATCGGGTGTAGTGAATGTTCCGATTGATGTACCAACAACCATCAAAATGCTATACCGCGATCGGTTAACGAAACTTTTATTGTTGAAATTTCATTGATGAGAAAGATGGAATACCAAAGTCCATATTTGCGTGAACGGGTTCGACCTGCCGACGTATGGGCTGCAGCGGAATTTTTGGTCCAAACTCCACTCTACATCGAATACGGTATCACGTTGAAGATGGATCATCCTCAAAGTAAATTTTACGATAATAACAAACTTTTTTCTGGCATTATCTTTCTTTATGATCATTGTCGAACGCGAAGCCGAAACCGGAGACATAAATATTATGCAATCAATTCAAGACGAGATGAACACACCATCGATGCAAGAGCCGCCTTCTACCGAAGAAACAGACCGAAACTTACCGGAAGAGACGTTACTCGATTCGAGAGACGCTATGCAGTTCGTGCCGGAATTAGATCCATCGGATGCGATCAAAGTCGCTCCAGGTAATTAATTATATTATATAGTGTTTTAATGGACGTCACTATTTGTATCGTTACAGGTCAAGGACAGAATCCAATTCCCATGTTTATGGACAAGTTTTGCGAAGAGTTGGCCTTCCCAACTATTTGGTGTGGACAAAAGAGACCGCTTCCGCCAGCCGATAAGAAGCCATTGTCGAACCTCGATTACGTCAACTCGGAGAATCGCCGCTTTGATCGTCGAGCATGCCGTCCGGATCACATTCTTTATCTTTTTAAGAAGAGCCAGATAGAGCGCTTAACTAAGCAAGCAACGATTATGCTCAGGAAAAGCACACAAGAAACTCAGATTACTGTGAGACAAGTAGCAAATAAGGAGTTCATCGATAACGCGATTAATAACGACTCGGCTTACCACTTCATGGTCGGAATTCCTGGAAGTCCACCATATTTCGAGGCACAGAAGAAGAAGGTGATGGCAAGGATACGGCAAATGGGAGGATTCACACTATTTGTATCGTGCTCAGCTGCGGAAACACACTGGCCGGAACTCCTTGTGATACTGAGCAAGACGGTGGACAAGAAGGACCTTACGGAAGAGGAAGCCATGGCGTTATCATTCGAGGAGAAGTCGAGGCTGATTACTTTAGATCCGGTAACTTGTGCCGAATATTTTTATTATCGTGTAAAAGAACAATTTAAGACTTGGAACGCCGATAACGGACCATTCGGAAACTTCAAAGTCTTCGGAAAGTACTGTCGATTCGAATGGCAACATCGCGGCTCGCCTTATGTTCATCTGTTCGTTGACTTGGAGAACGCACCGATATTTGATCCCGAAAAACCGGACACCGTTAAGAACGTTTGTGAATTCGTCGACTCAATCATTACAACCGGCAGCGATGATCCATAAATCGCCGATATTATTTACGTTCAGAACCACCGATGTACTCACACATGCAGAAAAGGACGAAAAGGCAAAGAGTATTGCCGTTTTGATGCACCCTTCCTTCCGGTTCCACACACAATGGTTCTCGAACCGATTCCGGACACGATGGTACTGACACAAGAAAAGAAAGATGAAATCCGAGAGCTGAACAAGAAACTACACAACATTCTTGAATCGGAAGAATCGCAAACGCTATCATTTGACGGACTTCTAGCTAAACTCGGATGTAATTTCAACGATTACATCCTAGCAGCAAAGGCAAAATTGAAGACTCGGAAACTTTTCGTGAAACGGCTGCCGAAGAACTCCCGGATTAACGCATACAATAAAAAGATTCTCGTCACGATGCGTTCCAATATGGATATTCAATTCATATTGGATATCTACTCCTGTATCTCCAACGTCGTCGATTACGTAAATAAGGCCGACAAAGGGCTGTCTCGGCTTCTCCGACAATGCGTGAAGGACCACCAAGGCGGCAATCACAATCTGAAGAGCACCTTGAATGCTCTCTCCAAGGTACTCTACAACAGTAGCGAAACTTCGGCACAAGAGGCGGCATGGATTCTCCTTCGTCAACCGATGTGTACTTCGACGGACGTCGTTGAGTTCATTCAATCAGGACCGAAAAAGGTATGTAAAAATTGTATTGTACTGACTTAATCTAATTCAACTTTATATTTCTTACAAACGACAACGGATGCTCAAAACGAATGCCGAATTACGATTCCTTTTGCTAATGGAACCGGAGAGCCAGGACATATATCGGAAGGGATCTATTGATCGTTACGCCATTAGACCGGACGAGCTCGAAAATATTTGCCTTGCCACTTTCGTCGCCGACTATGAAGAGCTGGAAGTAATTGAGGGTGAAGGGGATGAACTAACGGAACCGGAAGCGAAAAAAACATTCAATTTAAAGGACTTCAGCGGAACGATCACTCGGAGACAACGACCGAAAATCATCCGCTATTGCCGGTTCAACATTGCGCAAGACGAAATAAATTATTACCGTGAAATGTGCCTGCTCTTCTTACCGTGGAGAAACGAAGATGATGAGATCGAGAGTCAAAATTGTGCCGAAAAGTTCCGACAAAACGAAGCCGTCATCAAACAAAACTATGACAAATATAACGCCGTCTCTCTCGACTTGGAGGCCATTTACTCGGAAATTCAAAATGACCGAATTTTGGAGGATTTAAACGCCGAACCCGAGGAAGAAGAAATAGAACTAGTCGAGCGGGGATACCGAAATGTCTACGATTTCGACGACACGATCGTAGAACCGAATGCCGCTATTGAAATGGGAATGGAAGAAGTCATAGCGCTTTCCACTTGGCNGAATCTTCCGGTTTATCATTTTCTTTCAGGCGGAGCAGGAATCGGAAAAAAAGCCGTTTGATTAACGCATTATTTTCAATCGATAATTGCAGAATTTATCGAAGCGAACCTGGACCCGTTGACACCAATGAAGTGTTACTCGTGGCGTATTACCGGAATGGCAGCGCACAATATCGGGGAGTTACTTGTCATAGCGCTTTCCACTTGGCGGCAAACCAAGGCAAAACCGATAAAGGACTCTCACCGGATATCGCAAATACAATGGCATGCAACTTGCGATCAAACAAAGTCACGATCATCGACGAGATCAGCTTTCTTTCTTCTCGACACTTCGACCAAATCAGCTCAAACATGAAGCAAGTATTCAAATCGAGGAACGAGTTTGCCGGACTATCGATCATCGTTGTCGGCGATTTTAATCAACTACGACCAATTGGAGCTCCGTATTGTTTCCAACCGAAAAGTCGATGCACTACAGCTGCACTCGTGGACAATCCGCAATGGGCGCCCTTCCGTATGTTTGAACTTACGGAAATTATGCGACAAAAAGACGACCTCAGATTCGCAGAAGCACTCAGCCGACTTGCAGTAGGTGCAACAACATCAAACGACAACCGACTGTTCGAAAGCCGTTGCTTTACTCCGGAAACCCTTCCGGTTGAGGCTCGTTCATGCTTACGACTGATAGCTTTCAACGAAGATGTCTACAAATATAACATTCAAAGAGCGCAAGAGTTGATTCGATCAGGCGCACGGCAATTTATTTACACGGCTATTGACAGATTCATCGGAACGTACACAGACAATCAGAAGAAGAAAGCAAAACATGTGCTCGCTTTAATGAAACCTGGAGACACGCAGGGATTAGTGGCCGAACTTCATCTCGTCATCGGCCTTCGGTATATGATATCGACCAACATTGATGTTTGCGACGGCTTGTTCAATGGTGCCTGCGGAGTTTTACGGTTTGTCGAACTTCGAGAGCGATGTATCACAGCAGTATACATGGAATTTGATGATGAAAAGACCGGAGCATTAGCTCGAAGAGGTCGATATGATGTGATGAGAGCAAACTCGCAGATTCAGCCGAATTGGACTCCGATCAAGCTGACCAATCGAAACTTCAACACTACCGAACGCGGAAAGGTATATTCTCTTGTTTTATTTCTGAGCTAATATAATTTCTATTAAAATATTCATTTTAGGTGCAAGTTAATCGTGTACAATTCCCTATGGTAATGGCCGAAGCCATAACCATTCACAAGAGCCAGGGACGATCCGAAAGATTGGTCTGTGTTGATGTCGAAAAAGGAATGAACCGACAAAAGTATTACGTTGCGTTTTCCCGAGCAACTACACTCAACGGACTCTTTATTTTGGGCAAATTCAAACCTCCCGGACCAGTCGAAGCCAATGATCCGGTAAGAATCGAAATGGAGCGACTTCGGCAAGTTCCGCTTGTGGCAAAATTTGAATTCCTTCGAAATGTTGACGAAAATGTCATTCAAATAGTCAGCCACAATATTCAATCGATCCGAAAGCACATTACGACTGTTGTTGCAGATAGCGTTTATACTAGTAGCCAAATACTTGCATTTCAAGAGACCTGGACTGTATATAATGAGTCTTACGACATTCCAAACTTCACCGAAATATCGCGAAATCGGTTAATAGGTCGACCTCGAGCATTCGGAACAATGAACTTTTGCAAATTATCGATCGAAGCGCGAATTTCAAATCGAATGGAAATTGAACATGGTGACTCAAAGAATCACATCGAAATATCTGGATGTCGCATCGACAACCGGCTCACTATCATCAACATTTACAATAATCCGGCATCAAATATCAATTTGTTGATTGCAGCGTTATCGGAGATCGGGGATTTCATTGAGGCAACTGAAGACGTCTTGATTATGGGAGACTTTAATTTCCCATTAACTGTCGGAAATCGGGTAGAGAAATTTCTTCAAGAGAAATTCAATATAGTGATCATCTCTCCCCGAACAGTGACAACGAATGGCGGAACAATAATTGACGGAGTTTTTGGCAAAATGGTCAACTACACTGTTGATTGTTCGGTTTACGAGTCGTACTGTTCATACCATCGTCCAATTATTATTAGAGTTCGTGAAAATTAATAAAGAAATATATGTTTGCATAAACCTTATTTTATAATTAAAATTTTCTGATAAAATACTGATTGCTAATGCAATACTGATCCGTCACGCCAAAAATGCGCTGAAGTCTCATCGATGCACATACGAGGACTTTTGTAATTTTTTGAAAAAAGATTGGATAGAAAATTTTCGGATGACAAAGGATACGTGTATGTAGTAATGCAAGCAGCTGCAGGTTTATCTAGAGCCATTCAAACCTAGAGAACCACCAGCAGTGGAAAAACAAGTGGCCGTTACAATATATTACTTGGCAAGTTGTGCGGAATATCGTGTCGTGGGAAACACTTTTGGTATCCATAAGTCCACAGTGTGGAAGTGTGTGCATAGAGTAGTTGATGTGATTAATACTTAATTAACTGGATCATGACTATGCCTGATGCTGTAGAATGCGAAGATATCTCTTTTAATTTTGAAAACAAAACGCACATCTCGCAATTAATAGGTGCTATTGATGGAACTCACATTCCAATATTACCACCCATCAGATGGCTACAGAGAGGAAAGGGCGGCCCTCAATTGTATTACAGGCAGTGGCAGATCACTCATTCAGGTTAATTTTTGTTGTCGTCAATACAATTCTTTGCTTTTTACGCAATATTATTGTAGGTTTCGAAATATAAATTGCAAAACACCTGGATCATGTCATGATTCTGCAGTATTTCAAGAATCCCAATTGTATAAGGAACATGATGTATTGATTCCAGCGGTAAGTATTGTGGAAACAAAAAGAGGCATTTGTAACGCAGTGGGAAGTGGCTGTTACAGAAGCAGAATTGCTATTTCCACAACCATCTTCAATTAGTAACCGATGTCGAGACAATTTTAATGGTAATAGTATAAGAGATGCTATCAAAAATTATTTAGCAGAAAATTTTCCCCGCGGAAAACATTTTATCAATCAAAATAGGTGTAATTAACTCATAATTTATTCATGTTTATCTTAATATAAAAAACATAATATTGCACTGTATTGTTTAACCTGTGGCGATGGCAAGGTAGCTATGAGATGGGTTGCTAGAGAGACGAAAAATAACAACGATCAAGTAAATACATTTTGTAGATTTGCTGTGATATAATTTGATATCCAATTAATAAAGAAATGTTTAAATAAATATTTCCTAAAGTGGTGACCCCGACGTGATAATACGTGTACATTGATGGGGTCACGAACCGGGCGAACTCCTTGTCGGCTGTCACGTGTGTGTTGTAAGTGCTCTCAATGAGCGGGATAAACGAGTCGAAACTTGGGCTGAAACTGAAGACTCCCTCCTCCAGAGTTAATCCGGTGTCACCGTCAATCACGCACGATTCTAACCACAAGGGGTCATTCGCGAGTGGAGACTGTGTCTTAGATAGGTGCTGGGGTTTAGGAACCTGCGGTTTGGCCTGTGGTCTTGCCTGAGGCTTTTGCTGCCTGGGCACTTCGGCTGTTTTCCTTTCGCTGGCGTCAGAGACCGAGGGTGTCGGTTCTTCAGCTGAGCTGACTTTCGCTGGTTGGTCGTCCTGAGCTGGCATCGCATCCTGAGCGTGTCTGACGATAGGACGGAGACTGTCTGGTAGGTCCCAATCTGTACCGTGGACATTGTTCAGCGTATAGTCATAATCATGTATTAGTCTCAATAACGCGATTCAACGCGAGTAGATATACAATGCGGATCCTGGCTCACTTCAAGGTCGCTCGCTACCTGGTGGTGACCTTGGGAAGGAGGTCAAGGTGACGTGGCTGTGACCTTGGGAATTGGGTCAAGGTGAGAGTTCAATGACACGTACCCGGTGACCTTGGAAATTAGGTCAAGGTGAAATTCGCGTGCCACGTGGGCGGCGACCTCAATTTTCATCCGAGGCTATTGACCCCATTAATGTTCAAGGTCATCCGAGATCATTGATTCCCAATCAATTTCCAAGGTCATACGAGTTCATTGGTCCCATTAATTTTGAAGGTCATTCGAGGACATTGACCCATTAATGTTAAGGTCATTCGAGGTCATTCGCAAAGATCTTTTCAACATGTCCCCTCCAAGATTACCATGCTGAGTATTACGTTTTTCAAATTCAAGGACTCGTATTCATTATAAAATGTTACCTTTGGAAACTTTGCATTCATTAAGTACTTAATATATTAATAAATATGAGCAACGTACGACGGATAACTCAAGGTGGGATGATTGGGAAGATTGTACGGCGAGAAGATATGAAAAGGAGATTGGACACATTTTTTACATCTACAGAAGATGGGAAAAGGAAATGGGAAACGTTAGTGCAACATATTAAAACGTTAAAATGTGATATGGAAGTGCTGCTGAATGAGGAAGCGAAGTTTGATGCTGAAGTGATGAACGTGAATATGTCTGAGGATCATGAAATGTTCGAAAAAATGTCAAAATTGACTATGAATTAAAGTGTTTATAGAGCTCTGTAAAGTATCGACTGGCTATAGATGTCACGTAAATTTGATTAGATTGACAATAAGTATGTTATTTTTTATTTTGTGTCTACACATTAATAAATAAATTATTTCATTTTTTCTTGTATTTTCTTACATTAAATGTAAACCGAAATTCATTCAATACGTTTATATGTTATCATAATTGTACGTTAGACGTGTTGTTTGAGAAGAGTACCTTTCATTATCGTGCATACCCCACTGACCAAGTAGATGAAACGGTTCAATGTCCAAAACGTTATAAATAATAGACGACTAAATGCTAAGTGCCTGAATACACTATGAGTTTTAATCGGTCCCGTTTGACCGGATCGTTTTGAACGGATGACTGCATCCAATGGATTTAAATGCGAGCGTTTACACTTATCCGGTTGCGTTCCGGTCGCCGCAAGTAATGTAAACGCACACAACCTTCCGGTTTCGCAGGATGCGTTTTGAAAGGATGCGTTTAAAACGCATAGTGTATTCAGGCACTAAAGTTTTTAATGAAGAAATTTGATTGCTTTCAAGGTCAAGCGTCATATTTAATTTTCAATGTCAACTTTCTTTGGTCTCATGTTTCATTTCGAAGGTTAAGAGTAATATTCAGTTTTCAATGGCGAACATACGCAGTAGCATACCAATTCACATGGTCATGAAATTTTGTCTCGAATGTACCGAGGGAGACTGACATCTTACCGCTATTTACAAGTTTCCTTAGTAACTAATGCATTCAAGGTGTAACATCGCGATAATTCTTCTCACACCACTGAAATGCACCAATGTTAAAGATGTCACACTTTAATATGAATAATAAAAAAAGAAGGTAGCAATTACTTATTTATTCAATTTACAAATTAAACTACACAAAATTAACTATAAAAATGAAATACTACTGCTACGTAAATTATAAAGAGAACCTACTACGAATTAAAATACATATATACAATTTTTTACATTTTTTTTTTATGGAAACCCCTCAATTCTTCGAACGTACTCCACAGCCATCAAAATGTTTTCCCGCACCGCCTCCAAATTGCGGTTGGTCTCGAATAGCTCATGAGCCAGTTGAGCTACTCGATTAGCCAGCATCCCCTCAGAATTTTGATAGCAGGAATGCAGGTCCTGAATCCAACGCAAAGTAAACGCTTTAAACTCAATCAAGTTGCTCGGCGGGAGCGCCCTAGGTTGCGATGGTCGGTGGACGGTGGGTGGCTGCTGCTGTGGTGGTGGCGGTTGGTGATGCACAGGTACAGGATGCGGCATGCATTGAAGTCGTACCTCCTGCACCCGCGCCTGTTGCGGCTGCTGCTGCTCTTGATGTTGTGTGAGGAGGGTCTCTCGACCAAATTGCTGCGGCGGTGGAAGCAGCGGAGGCGGTTGCTCTTCGGCCGGTCTAATGCTAGTATAATTATATGAGAAGGATTAGTAATGTTTGCGCCAATGTAATCAACAAAAAACGGAAGATATATGTAATTAATATGTACATACTTACTTTTCAAAGAGGTGTCCAAATTCCTCTTCAATATCGCTATCGGCAAGCGATATTACAGTGTCTGGTGTAGGAGGTCTGTTTTGAGGTGTCGGCTGTTGGCTACTCGCACCAATCTTCGTTGGAGCACTGGATCGTATTAGAATATTTTCCAAAATGGCCACTTTCGTTCTCGGCGTTCTTTTTAAATTCAACTTGATTTTTTTGTTCGGCGATGGCATTTTGTATGAGCGTAAGAATTGTATAGTAAAACGCAATGTTACTTGTATTAATATTTATATGTAAAGAAGTTTGCTAACGTTAGGAGCTCTGGAGGAAATGATAAGGTCAATGAACCAACACAAGCGGACGAGGCCAGATTTTTCAAGGCAAAGTGTCATATTTCATTTTATTTCAAGGTCGACTGTTGTGGTATCTGATATTATTTTCAAGGTCAACTTCCTTGCCTTCATATTTCGATTCCAATGACAAGTGTAATATTTAATTTTCAAGGTCATTTGTTTTATGACATCGCATTACATCTTCAAGGTTAACTTTATTTGGTATCATATCTCATTTCCATGGTGAGGTGTAATATTTCATTATGAAGGTCAACTTTTTCGATTCTACAGTTTATTGTTGTCGAACAAACTGAACCCAGCGCAGTACCAATACGAGTTTTAAAAAGAAAAGGATCTACGGTGGACCCTTATGGAATAGCTGAGGCCTGGGCGAAATATTTAGAATCATTGCTATTACAGGACACAAAATGCGATCTGTCCCCAAGATAAGATTTGATAAAATTCGCTAAGGTAGGTAGTACTGAAACCATATCCTCAGGCAATTTTTTTAATCAGAATGTAGTGATCTAGTTAATCAAAGGCTTCTTGAACAAAAAAAAAAAAAAGGTAGCAATTACTTATTTATTAAGCTACACAAAATTAAAATCAAACTATAAAAATTAAATTCTATTACTACTTAACCTATAAACTACAACTACAAGTTAATATACATATATACAATAATTTTCACAGTTTTTCTAAGGAAACTCCTCAATCCTGCGAATATATTCCTGGGCGATTCTAATATTCTCCCGCACCCCCTCCAAGTTTTGGTTGGCCTCGAATAGCTCATTATTCAGTTGAGCTACTCGATTCGTCAACATGACCTCCGAATTTTTGTAGCAAGCATGCAGCTCCTGAATCCACTGCAAACTGTACTCCTTAAACTCCCGTAAGTTGCTCGGTGGGAGCGCCATAGTTTGCTGCGGATTGCGTGTAGAGAGCTGCTGCTGCTGCGGAGGCGGTAGATGTTGTACCATGGGAGGGTGCGCCCGAGGAGGTGCACGATTGACTGCTGACTGCTGCGGCTGCTGCGGTGGTAGCGTCGGATGCTGCTGCATAGGTGCTGGATTTGGAATTTGTTGAGGTCGTACCTCCTGCACCAGTGAAGGTTCTTGCTGTTCAATTAGTGCCAGGTTTTTTCCAGCACTACCACCACCACCAAATTGCTGCGGAGGTGGAAGCAGCGGCGGTGGAACCAGAGGCGGCTGCTGTCGCATGTCGACCGGCGTGATGCTAGTATAATTAAATGATGAAAATTAGTAATGTTTGCGAAAATGCAACCACCAAAAGTGAAAGATATAATTAATATGTACTTACTTTTCAAAGAGGCGTCCAAGTTCCTCTTCAACATCGCTGTCCGCAAGCGATATTACTGCAGGTGTGGGAGGCCTGTTTTGAGCTACCACACCCTGCTGCCTATGATGTTGATTAGACCCACCCATTCCCGATGGAGCACTGGGTCGCGTCAGAATGCCTTCCAAAATCGTTATTTGCTTTGATGGCGCTTTTTCGGAATTGAATCTGACTTTTTTGTTCGGTGCTGACATTTTGTACTCGCGTATGAACTGAATATTAAAACGCAATGTTGCTTGTATATATGTGAAGAAGTTTGCTTGCGTTAGCAACGCGGAAGGAAATGACAAAGCGAATGAACTATAGTACAAGCGGATGTGTCCAGCTTACATAAGCAAAGTTACTGAATCACCAAAGGAGCTGATGTACTGCCACATTAGGAAAGGAAAACCAGCTTGGAAAACCAACTTATGAAGACAACGGTTTCTCATTTGTGCTAAATAGATCTGCTAATGACACTGATCAATGTCTGGGACATTCGAAATAATAGGCTGTTTTCATTAAATTTGTGTTTGGGTGACAAATTTCATTCTTAAGGTCTTTTGAGGTGTCATATTACATTTTCAATGGCAACTTTTTTGTGGTGTCATATTTCATTTTCAAGGTCACATTTTTTGGGGTGTCATGTTACACTTTCAAGGCCAACTCTTTTTTGTATCATATTTCATTCCTAGGTGTCATGTTTCATTGAAAGGTGTAATATTTCATTACCCATGTATCATATTTCACTTCCAAGGTCAATTTTTTATCAATCTGATCTTCTTTGGGTGTCTATAATAAGACAGATGTGATAGCATAGTGAACGATCATGGTGAAAATTAATTACCTTCACTGAGCTTATATGTAGGTATCACATGCGAAAAAATTACTTCCACCCAAAAAGTTCATTTTACTTTCAATGAGATTACTTGACGTTGGATTAGTTGCAAAGGTGAGCAATTAACAGGATCATATAATACAAAATCATAAATTTAACTGGTAATCCGAAGGTAAATAAATAATTTATCGCATGAAATTATCTTAATTCATCATTTTTGAATTGCAATCATAATCAAACTAGCATAGTGGCAATCGAAAGTATGGCATCTTACTCGTGCTTTTACAATACAACCGCAATGAATGTTATTATCACACAATTTTTATGATGACAAATAGTTTAAATTTTTCTGGTTTGATCATTATTGCAACATGTAGGGAGGTAGGTAATGAAAAGGCTGAAAACCTTGTTTATTTGTAACAAATATATGCAAATGATTTTTGTAAGAAAATATCTTCTTCGCCCATGATTTTCTTTTCTTCGTCGATCCACAAGTGCACAATTTGGTCTATTTATCGCAGCAACCCTAAAATCATTAGTTACTATTAGAAGAAAGGAAAAAAATGTTTAATAAACCTACCTTACTTATAAGCATTTTAACAATCTCGTTGTCCCAATTAGGTTAGTAACTATATAGGTATTCATCTATTACCATCCGAGTTTTTAGTTTCAGCAACCATCTATATTCACCAAAATGTTTTAAGAATTCTCCATATGTCGGCGTGGACCCGGTTCCAAAAGCGGTGCTTTAGAAAACAAAATCTAATTATCTACATTTCATACAATCAGGGATGGGGAATGTAACATTAGACGTAGGTAAATTAAAAAGAAGCAGACGTTTCAGTCAATGTGTAGATGTATACAAAAAGAAATGGGGTGGTACTTATTAAGTTTATGACATCAACTAATTTTCACACACGTTCTAATGCACAGAAACTTATTTGCGAATACGTGAATTGTGTAACGTGCGAAATGTAGCTAGGTGTACTAGTACCTTACCTGTCTGCTTTATTGTGAGTAAAATAACGCAGTTCCCAGCTGAGAAAGGGGATTCTGTGGAAATCATTTATTGATATTTTTCCCAATATTTTTCAGAGACATCATCTTTTTTTAAGTTAGGAGGTGTTTCCATAAGGATTGGCGCTCGCAATCAGCGCGTAAGTAGCATATGAAATTTAAAAAAATAAATAATCTTACAGTTCGAAGTGCGTAGTTAGGTAGGTACCTGCTTAAACTGATGCTGGCGCTTTGTTTAAAAGTGGAAATAACTTATTCCGAAATCACTTCATGTCATTGGAATCGAAATATGAAGGCAAGGAAGTTGACCTTGAAAATAATATCAGATACCACAACAGTCGACCTTGAAATAAAATGAAATATGACACTTTGCCTTGAAAAATCTGGCCTCGTCCGCTTGTGTTGGTTCATTGACCTTATCATTTCCTCCAGAGCTCCTAACGTTAGCAAACTTCTTTACATATAAATATTAATACAAGTAACATTGCGTTTTACTATACAATTCTTACGCTCATACAAAATGCCATCGCCGAACAAAAAAATCAAGTTGAATTTAAAAAGAACGCCGAGAACGAAAGTGGCCATTTTGGAAAATATTCTAATACGATCCAGTGCTCCAACGAAGATTGGTGCGAGTAGCCAACAGCCGACACCTCAAAACAGACCTCCTACACCAGACACTGTAATATCGCTTGCCGATAGCGATATTGAAGAGGAATTTGGACACCTCTTTGAAAAGTAAGTATGTACATATTAATTACATATATCTTCCGTTTTTTGTTGATTACATTGGCGCAAACATTACTAATCCTTCTCATATAATTATACTAGCATTAGACCGGCCGAAGAGCAACCGCCTCCGCTGCTTCCACCGCCGCAGCAATTTGGTCGGGAGACCCTCCTCACACAACATCATGAGCAGCAGCAGCAGCAGCAGCCGCAACAGGCGCGGGTGCAGGAGGTACGACTTCAATGCATGCCGCATCCTGTACCTGTGCATCACCAACCGCCACCACCACAGCAGCAGCCACCCACCGTCCACCGACCATCGCAACCAGGGCGCTCCCGCCGAGCAACTTGATTGAGTTTAAAGCGTTTACTTTGCGTTGGATTCAGGACCTGCATTCCTGCTATCAAAATTCTGAGGGGATGCTGGCTAATCGAGTAGCTCAACTGGCTCATGAGCTATTCGAGACCAACCGCAATTTGGAGGCGGTGCGGGAAAACATTTTGATGGCTGTGGAGTACGTTCGAAGAATTGAGGGGTTTCCATAAAAAAAAAATGTAAAAAATTGTATATATGTATTTTAATTCGTAGTAGGTTCTCTTTATAATTTACGTAGCAGTAGTATTTCATTTTTATAGTTAATTTTGTGTAGTTTAATTTGTAAATTGAATAAATAAGTAATTGCTACCTTCTTTTTTTATTATTCATATTAAAGTGTGACATCTTTAACATTGGTGCATTTCAGTGGTGTGAGAAGAATTATCGCGATGTTACACCTTGAATGCATTAGTTACTAAGGAAACTTGTAAATAGCGGTAAGATGTCAGTCTCCCTCGGTACATTCGAGACAAAATTTCATGACCATGTGAATTGGTATGCTACTGCGTATGTTCGCCATTGAAAACTGAATATTACTCTTAACCTTCGAAATGAAACATGAGACCAAAGAAAGTTGACATTGAAAATTAAATATGACGCTTGACCTTGAAAGCAATCAAATTTCTTCATTAAAAACTTTAGTGCCTGAATACACTATGCGTTTTAAACGCATCCTTTCAAAACGCATCCTGCGAAACCGGAAGGTTGTGTGCGTTTACATTACTTGCGGCGACCGGAACGCAACCGGATAAGTGTAAACGCTCGCATTTAAATCCATTGGATGAAGTCATCCGTTCAAAACGATCCGGTCAAACGGGACCGATTAAAACTCATAGTGTATTCAGGCACTTAGCATTCAGTCGTCTATTATTTATAACGTTTTGGACATTGAACCGTTTCATCTACTTGGTCAGTGGGGTATGCACGATAATGAAAGGTACTCTTCTCAAACAACACGTCTAACGTACAATTATGATAACATATAAACGTATTGAATGAATTTCGGTTTACATTTAATGTAAGAAAATACAAGAAAAAATGAAATAATTTATTTATTAATGTGTAGACACAAAATAAAAAATAACATACTTATTGTCAATCTAATCAAATTTACGTGACATCTATAGCCAGTCGATACTTTACAGAGCTCTATAAACACTTTAATTCATAGTCAATTTTGACATTTTTTTCGAACATTTCATGATCCTCAGACATATTCACGTTCATCACTTCAGCATCAAACTTCGCTTCCTCATTCAGCAGCACTTCCATATCACATTTTAACGTTTTAATATGTTGCACTAACGTTTCCCATTTCCTTTTCCCATCTTCTGTAGATGTAAAAAATGTGTCCAATCTCCTTTTCATATCTTCTCGCCGTACAATCTTCCCAATCATCCCACCTTGAGTTATCCGTCGTACGTTGCTCATATTTATTAATATATTAAGTACTTAATGAATGCAAAGTTTCCAAAGGTAACATTTTATAATGAATACGAGTCCTTGAATTTGAAAAACGTAATACTCAGCATGGTAATCTTGGAGGGGACATGTTGAAAAGATCTTTGCGAATGACCTCGAATGACCTTAACATTAATGGGTCAATGTCCTCGAATGACCTTCAAAATTAATGGGACCAATGAACTCGTATGACCTTGGAAATTGATTGGGAATCAATGATCTCGGATGACCTTGAACATTAATGGGGTCAATAGCCTCGGATGAAAATTGAGGTCGCCGCCCACGTGGCACGCGAATTTCACCTTGACCTAATTTCCAAGGTCACCGAGTACGTGTCATTGAACTCTCACATTGACCCAATTCCCAAGGTCACAGCCACGTCACCTTGACCTCCTTCCCAAGGTCACCACCAGGTAGCGAGCGACCTTGAAGTGAGCCAGGATCCGCATTGTATATCTACTAACGCGTCCAAAGAAACCAGTGACGTGGCCATGTTGTACATTTGTGGGTTCGGCGGCAAGACGGAATCTGTAGGTTTTACCTGCTGGATGGTCAAACTGGCCTATTCCACGTAAATATACGTTGACTGGTTCGGCGACGGGATACTCTTTCGAACGCATATAGCCCACGAAGTCTTGAGCTTCCTGGTCTGCGTCACCTCGGTGTTCTTGTATTGCTGCATCATTTTCAAGCGACTTACTGATTTTGGTCTCCTAGTCAATGCGAAGAAATGCACACTTAACAAACCAGTCGTAAAATTTCTGGGCTATGAAATCTCCGCTGCAGACACAAGACCGCTTCCAGACCGAGTTGATGCCCTCAGAAATTTCTCACGACCATCTGCTGCGAAAGGACTACGTCGATTTCTGGGTATGATAAATTTTTATCGCCGATTTTTACCATCTGCAGCACAGCATCAAGCTCTTCTTCATGCCGCTTTGTCTAAACTTCGAGGCAATCAACCTGTAAATTGGACACCGGAATTGGACCAGGGGGTCGATTTTTGGCCGTACGTTTATATTGCGTATACGTTCAATTGTGTTCGTTTTTTTGCGAGCGGGTAAATGGCGTTCGCAAACGCTCGCAACTGACGTTTTGTGGGTTATGTATTGGTTAGTGTTGAAGTTTTGACTCTTGAGACTTGAAAGGTATCTACTAACAACAATGGATGAAGCTGTGAATGTGTTTGTAATAGACAATTTAGAGAATGCCGAACGCAATTATCGCCCGAATAGCAACCGTAATCCTTGCAACCCCATAGAAGTCTTAAATGAAGCACAATTTATCAAAATGTATCAGCTACTTCTTTCCATGAGTCTTGCATTTCCTTGCACGTCAAAGTCGTAGTTTGTTTCTCTGCTATATCGGGGTGGTTTTTAGTAAACTCTACTAGCCACCCTTTTTGGTTTTGCGTGGTATTGCACCCTCGCTTTGGCGTGTTCATCGTGTTTTCAGTATTCATGCTAATCAGTGCCTAAAATATTATTATTCTTTAATTTGAAATGACTGAGCAATATCTTCACCTCACCACCTAAGCTCAAACCCAAACGTCAATGAACGTCAAATAGTCCGTTTTAGTTCTAATCAATCAATAAAGGCGACGTTGTCATATGCACTGTACGTTTCGGTTCCAGGCAGTTACGAACAGTAGTCAAAAATTGCATTTGGAAAACGTGTACGTTTTTAAGTCTTCGCATCTAAGCGTATACGAATAGATGCGACTGGTTTCAAAAATCAACCCCCAGGCTTTTGAAGCTTGCAAAGATAACCTGGCACAAGTGACACTTTTCGTACATCCAGATCATAACGCTCAGTTAGCCTTGTTTTGTGATGCTTCCAGCACATCCATTGGTGCTACCCTTCAACAGCAAGTCGATGATTCTTGGCAGCCATTGGCATTTTTCTCCGTTAAGCTAACTCTACGTCAATCACAGTGGCCAGCATATTACAGAGAACTTTTAGCCGTTTATGCAGCTGTTCGCCATTTTCGTTACATACTTGAAGGTCAACATTGTATAATTTTTACCGATCACAAGCCTTTGACCTTTGCAATGAATCAACGCCGCGAAAAATTACCACCAGTACAGCAAAATCATTTGACTTATATTGCACAGTTTACTACGGACATTCGTCATATCGATGGATCTTCTAATGTCGTTGCTGATGCATTTTCTCGTATTGATGCTGTAACTGGTCAACCTGTTTTCAATGCGGTAACGCTTGCTCGTGAACAAGAACATGATGCAGAGCTACAAAATTTAGTTAATAGCAACACAGCACTAGCACCCATTAAGCGTCCTTATATTCCTGAATCGCTGCGGCGCACAGTGTTCGACTCATTACACAATTTGAGCCATCCCGGTGCTAGAGCATCAGCAAAACTTGTTTCACAGCGATTTGTGTGGCCACGTATACAGCAAGACTGCCGTAACTGGGCCAAAAATTGCAAAAATTGCCAACTTGCAAAAGTTTCAAGACACACGCATACACCGCTTGAAAATTTTCCCTTGTCTTCTGCCAGATTCGAACATGTGCACATCGACATCATTGGTCCTTTCCCTACTGCTGGACCCTATCGATATTGCCTCACTGCAATAGATAGATACACTAGGTGGCCTGAAGTTCACCCTCTGAAAACGATTACAGCAGAAGAAGTTGCCGGAGCACTTGTAACATGCTGGTTTTCTCGATTTGGCTCGCCTGTATGTATAACTACAGATCAAGGTAGCCAGTTCGAGTCTGCATTGTTCAGAACCCTCAATAATATTTTTGGAGTAGAAAGATCTCGATCCTGTAGTTATCATCCCTGTGCCAATGGTATGGTTGAACGTTTGCATAGACAGTTAAAAGCAGCGCTTATGTGCCATCATAGTGAATCTTGGCTTCCAATTGTACTTCTTGGAATTCGCACAGCTTTCAAGGAAGATTTACAGGCATCCATAGCAGAAATCGTATACGGTCAGACACTTCGTTTACCTGGTGAAATGCTAACTCGCCAGAATGAAGCTGAGCGACAAGAAGATGCATCTAGCTTCGTAGTACGTTTGAGACGGTATATGGCTGACCTTCGTCCAGTTCCTGCTTCTCACCATTCGACCCCCAAGGTTTTTGTTTTTCAAGACCTTGCAACATGTTCCCACGTTTTCCTGAGGGACGACACAGTACGACGATCCCTTCAACCTCCATATACCGGACCCTACGCTGTCATTCGTAGAGATTCCAAGACCGTCACCATCCGATACAAAGGATCTGAAATGCGCGTGAGTATGGATCGCGTTAAACCTGCGTATCTCCTCGATGTCGATACTACACCAAGCCCCATACCCGCTACGAAACCATCCAACACCCATCCAACAACGCCACCAAGTTCGACTGTACAACCCTATGTGACCCGTGCCGGCCGCCACGTTCGTTTTCGTCTGCCCTGACCTCCAGTCTCCGCGGGCGGCTCCTGTGGCGATGGCAAGGTAGCTTAGCTATGAGATGGGTTGCTAGAGAGACGAAAAATAACAACGATCAAGTAATAGTTATTTACATATGAGTATGGTAAATCAAGGTTTACGTTAACGAGTGAGATGAATGGAGAGGAATTTCGAAACGAGTAACGTTAACTGATTAACATACAAAATAATGTAAAACATTTTATTTCATACTGCTCTATTTCTATTAAAAAACCATTTTGATTAGAATGTTGTAGGTACACATTAAAATAAAAGCAAAAGTCGATCACTTGATTTGTTTGATCCGACAGTAGTTTGACAAATATCAATATCAATCAATCAATCAAATATCACGTTTAGATGGATGTCAGTTGCGGTTGCTAGGCAAAATTTCCAGTCTGGTAAAAATTTTCAGTCTGGTAAAATACGATTTACCAGACTCAAATCAGTCTGGGAAAGCGGCGATTACTAGATAGTATGAAATAAATACATTTTGTAGATTTGCTGTGATATAATTTGATATCCAATTAATAAAGAAATGTTTAAATAAATATTTCCTAAAAACTATGTATTTTACTTAAATAATAGTTATTTGTGTACCAAGGCCGTAAAAGTGATCTGTTTGTGGCCGAGGCGGTAGCCGAGGCCGCAATTCAGATGAGGCCTAACAAATCACTTTTGGCCAAGGTGCACACAACATTTTTTAGGCGATCATCAAAAAAGAATTCAAAAATTTGCCTATAAACATATTTTTTCTGAAAATCATAGTTATCTTAGACAATTAAAAACAAAGCATTTCCTGTCATATGTAATAAATTATAATTAGCATCTTTGCGTGTGTTTTGTGCGTATCAAAATGGGTGATAGCGACAGTTCAGATACCCCAAATGAAATTTTGGAAGCTGCAAGCGTTGCGACCCTACGTCATATATGATATAAGAGCAGGCGTTTGAGAGTAAAAGTACAATCGCAACTTCCTCCGTTGTACAAAATTTTAATAATGCAATAGGTCTTTCGTAACTGTGGCTTCCAAGACCTTATAGTTAACATGCTGTACAATTATTAGAAACCTGATTACCTACTTTGATGGTAGGTATAGGCAGCTACTTGTGTTCTCGGTTAATTGCTGGTGATTATTCGTATAATAATGTAAGCAATAACATCTTCCTCATGTTTTGGTTCAACACTTCAAAAAGGTCTGCAAGCAGCAAAGATTGAAACGTCAAACTATAATTTTAAATGTGAACATTGTGATTATGCAAAATAGTGTGAAACATTCCTACAAGTCCGAAAATGGAAAAAACGCACGTGGATGCCCAATCCTTGATGGGGCTAGACCAGATAGACGCTTTGTATCAAACAGATTACTGTTTCTCACACATCAGTTTCAAATAAGTAGGTACAGTTTGACAGATGTGTACAATAAAGTAAAGTTTGACAGAAGTGTACAATAAAGTTAAACTTTATGGCCGCAAAAGCGACTACAAAATCAACGTTTTTGTGATGATAGCCTAAAAAAGAATTATGCATTTTATTAATGTCATCGAAGTTTGTAGGAGTGGGGGATTGATTATTTGCACTTGTACTGGTGGGAAATGGGTTATCAAACTGCATGGATGTTGAGGGGGAGCCAGCAGGGATATTTGTAAAAGTGGGAAGTGGATTTGGGGACGGAAAGGGATGTAACGGAGGCAAGCGCATATGTATCAAATTTCATTTAAATGC